AGGAGAATTAAAGTCACAGACCCTGACATTACCAATGACTTTGGTCTCTCTGGCCTAACCAAGCATTAGCTTAGCAGACAGGAGGCGGCGATACCCAATGCAGTGTCTTGGTTAACAAGGTGAACATGGTAGTGCAATACCCTCCTCATTTCTGGGTCTCAGAAGCCAGCGGGTCCCCACTGTGACCCAGCCTAATCTCTGCTTGGAGGTGCTCTTGAAGGCCACTGTCAATACCATTGTTCAGGACAACAACCAGAGAGTCAGTAAAATGGTATCCTTTAAAACCTGAGGAAAAAGATAATCCAATCTGAGCTCTATGCCCCCTTTTAAAAAGGTCCATTTGAATAAACAATTTTCCTGTAACTGTGGAAAACTTTAACAGAACTGACCAGTACTCAGTTCAACGGAAACATTATGGAAGTGGAAGGCTTTCCCCGACTCTATTTTCAGATTAGCTTCCAATAAGAACCCAACAGAAAGGCCCTTTTCTTCACTCACGCAGAGAGCAACATGTAAGAAGTGGGGCTGCATTCTGTCATACATAAAAAATGACTTCCATATAAGCATCCTTGGATCGCACAGGAGGCCCGTATGTAAAATGATACACAGGACGTTCGTCAAACTTATAAATAGGAAAGTCAGAAGCATGCTATGGAGTGAAAGTCTCAGCCCTCCTCTGGTGGGGCAAAATATTTCCCGTCATAATTACATCTCCCTGCCACTCAAATTCCTAACGTGAGTTTAAGGACACGGAAAAACACAGGTTTTCATCTCACCATTCTTTTGTGGGAGGAACAGCAGAATTAAGAAACATGCCATTTTTTTGGCAATAAAGTTATCACCAATTTATCACCAAAGGGAAATGATGCATAAGGCTTTTAAAACAAATATTGGACTTCATAAATTTCCTATGTTTTTATTAAGATATCTCTATATCACTTTATAAAAAGTCAATCCCTTGACAATATTACGAAAAAATGACCTTTTCAGCTAAATTCCCTAAATGAGATCGTAATACCCAGGTTACACACCAACATGAGTAATACAGCCCATCTTTCCGGCAGCCCCTCACACGTCTATGTGCACAGAGCCGAGATGGAAGTCAAGCTAATTACACAGAGGAGGAGGAAGCAGGAAGCAAACATGGTAGAAAAAAAGCAGGTCAACAGGCAAAGTTCAGGAGCTGGAAAATCACAAGCCACAGTGATTAACAGCTAGTTAATCTTCTTACAATGGCTAGGACCATACACCTCACAGAGTTAAATACATATAATTTAAATACATTAAAATATTTATGTCCCCTACCAGAGCACATTACTAATTTGAGGGTGAAATCAGGCATTACCATAACATTTCTGCCTGATGAGATAATTTTGGTTTTCTGGAACACATTATGCCAAAACAAATTATTTTGCCAGGAAATAATTTCACTTATTTTGAAAGCAATGAATATTTACCATGACTAGACCCAGGTTTCTTGAATTTAAAAAAAAGAAAGACAGACTAAAGTAAGTATATGAGCCAACTATTTTTTTTAATACTTACAAATATTTTCTGAAGACATATATTAAATCTTGTACCTTTGTGGATTCCTTTACATTATTCTCAAGGAAACTAATTTAAAATCTATTTGCATAAGGTTATCGGCTTAATTTTTTTTTCACTAGGCTTAAAAGGTTTTCACTTTTATTTTATGTATTTGGTTACATTATCTATGCCTTATCTACTTTACCTTATGTAAGAAATAGTCCTGATATTTCAACATTGAGTTGGCTGTAGTTACTGATTTTTCATTTATGTTTATGGGGAAAATTTTTTTAGGCTAGAAGCCTGAATATATGGCTTTGAACATATTTGCTGGAATACTATTCCAGAGAGTGTCTCGATATAATTCAGTGTGAGAATATGAGTAAATAAAGAAAAAATCTAACTCTATTATTTCAGCTCTGAGTTGGGAAACTTTGGGGGCTGTAGTTGGCCAGGCTCTTACTTTGCTTGATGCTTCACTGTTCTCCTCATGTTTCACCACCAACAGTTTGGAGAAAGAAGCGGGGCTTTCAGGTAGTAGGGTTTAAAAAAAATAATAAACGATTGCTAACTTCTTCTTGATGGGTGCTATTAACACCCATTAAGAGCAATCCAGACCGAGCCTGCACCCAGGACAAAAGATCAGCTTTGCAAGTGTCATTAGAGACAAATGGAAACTTAGCAAAGGAATGTGAACGTACTAGTAAAATATGGAATTTTTTCTGCTGCTCTCTTCTAAAGTGAAACATAACCATAAATCAAAAACAGCTTTTGAAAAGAAACATGATTATTAAGCTTTTCGAAAAGTAATTCTGCGCTTGCCAGTCACGTAAAAGCCTTCTACCTTAAAAAACGGTGGTTTCTTTTAGAAAAGTAAACACGTGACAATGCCTCCCACCCCCCAAATTGCATTTTACCTTATGTGTAAAAATAAATACTACATTGAGGAATGTGGGGGGGGGGAGCACATTTAAATAATTTTATTGCACTGTAAGTTGCCAATTCGTCTGTGAGTAGTTTCACTGCAGATGAAAAGAAATCAAAACACAGGACAGATGTTGAACAAACCGCATTTAAGTTCTGTCACACACTGGGCATTTTTCGAATGATTTTGGTTCATCTATTAAATAAGGTGCATTGTGCTTGCTGTTGAAGAGGGGAAACATCAGGAAATATTTAAAGGCCAATTGCTGCCAATTAACTTTGATCAGTGAAAGTTCTATTTGAATCTTGCCGATTCTTCTCCTGTCTGAAATAACATACATTTATAAAATCCAGCAAAACAACAACTTGATGATTAATGCCTGTTGGCAGCCCGACCACAAGCTTGCTCAGCAGCAGGATTTAAACAAACAACTATCTCCACGAAGAAGGGAGAGGAAGGGACTTATCCTCATGCTTCTTTCATAATGGAGATGCGGAAACAATATTCTTTCCTTTTCGGGAATGCTGCTAACCGACATCAGCGTGTTTGTCAGTACTCATAACATTTAGCTACCCATCTTACAAACGTTTCCCCCAAATCACAGTGGACAAATAACAGCATCCACAGTTTGACATTGGATAGTTTGGCAACTCAAAGGGACAGACGATCAGACCATCGAAAAAGAAAACCCGTCAAGCTAATATGCCGAGAGTCTGACCCAGCAGAGAAGATGTGAGGATCGTGATTTCAGACGCATTCAAAGGTAACACGGTGTCCCAGTAACTGAGAAATCTGTAGCTTTTGATAATCGACCAAGCTTTTAAAATATTTAAAAATATTCTTGACATTATACTTTAATTCTAATCAATGCTTACATAGCATCTAATCTTGGAACCCAACAGCCAAAGCAAGGCAAAACAAATTTGGTAAAAGCAATCCGTATGACTATATAATCATGGATGTGAACTCACGATTCCAAGTATCCAGTTAAATACATAGAAAATAACATCCCATTGCTATTTGAAACCAGCACCTACGTTCCCACGAATCGCATGTGACAGATGTGACGGAGAACTAGGACTTACTTCTAAATCATTGAAGAAGAGATGCGTGTCAGCCAGGTTGAAAATCATTTCTTCCATTCTCAGGCCAAGGGAAACTGAAGTGGGTGGATCCTAAAAGAAGAATTTTAAAGTGAGGCACATATATGTTTCATGTTACATGGGACAAGGTGCGTGTCCCATGAAGGAGGAGTCCACATCAGAAAGGGCTAAAAGCAAGAGACAAAGGGTAAGACGTAGGTCTCGAATTCTTTTGATGATCCTGATTTTGTTTGTGGGCAAATGTTAGCAACTAATTGCTTGAAAAAGTCAAATGCCTCGACTGCTGCTGGTCCCTTCCATAATAAAGACATAACTCATAGGATATGCTATGACCCCAAGCAGAAAAGCCAAATCACGAAAACTAATGTCACTTAGCCGTCTAACGTAGAAGTAATTCAATGGTATTTGTCTACTTTTTTATCTTTTATTTTATTTATCTTTTAATCATTTAATTAGGGGCTCATGCAACTCTTATCACACTCCATACATACATCAATTGTGTAAAGCATATTTGTACATTCATTGACCCCCTCATTCTCAAAACATTTGCTCTCCACTTAAGCCCTTGGCATCAGGTCCTCTTTTTTTCTCCTCCCTCCCGGCTCCCCACTCCCTCATGAGCCCTTGATAATTTATAAATTATTATTTTGTCATTTCTTGCCCTGTATTTGTCTATTTTAGGAGCAAGGGTAACTCTGTGAGCCAAGAAATTCTTGATGTGTTTCTCTTACACCACAATCCATGAAGAGAGTCACCACAAATATCAGAAAGAGATACAATGGAGATCAGTTTCAGAAGGGAAATAGAGTCATCGTAGTCTAATAACATCGGTCTCTTGTGCCCTGCATTTATTTAAACTGCCAACTGGGAAGAGACTCAAAGTAGGAAGTGGTGTCCACTTGGACAACTGGGTACCATGCCAGCTCAGGGAGCTGATGCTGACCTTCCTGAGGTACCGTCCAGGCATCCACCAGCCAGTAGCATCCAATGGCGGAGTGCAGTGTATTCTGACAGGCAGACTACAACATAATCTGTGAAGACTGTTAGCACTACCGTTGTGTTTCTGGTCAGACAGGCTGTTATGTAAGGGCTGTTTCTCTACTTACAATTCCCTTGACTAAATGATAATACACGTACAGTTTATATTTATTCCCCAGGTTTGCTGTGATTATAAAGCAGTAATACCAAAAGTTGGTATAAAGAACATTTTAAACACCGTGTAAAAGTTGTTAGTATTATAGGCTATCAATACAACCTTCAATAGTTAATTTTATATCCCTTTCTCTGTGGAAGATTTTTCATTACAGAAATTATTTTTCTTTTCCACCAATTACCTTAACCCATGAATGTGCTTCCTGGGTTTGAGAAATGACTAAGATTGACCCTGGGTGGTGCTCAGGGTTTGCACACCTGGTTGTGCACCTGAGATTTGGCAGCTCAGTCCACTCTGAAGGGTCTTGGATGAAAGATCTGCTTGCTTGAAAAATCAGCCACTCTAACCCGAGAGAACAGTTCTATTATGACACACCTGAGGTTACCAGGAGCTCGAACCAACTTGAGGGCAACTGGTTCTGACTGCTACAGAGGCTGCACATATTTGCATCTCCCTGGATTCTTCCCAAGGTCATCAAGCCATTGTGTGGATTGGGTGACTGTTCACCATGACTGTCAAGGGCTTGAAGCATGGGGAGGAATCTAAGACCCTCACTATCCAATACAGCCCAGGATACGCTTGAATTGTGTTCAGAACATACTTCCTTCATTCCGAAGACTTCTCTGTGTGCTATACTCTCACACGGCCATTTATCGAAAGTCTATCACTTCCCTGAATCCCACCTCAAGTTCCACCTCTTCTATGCTCTTTGAAAAGTTGCAAGAACTGACAGAAGCGGAGGCCCAGCCTCAAAGTGCGAGACCTCCATCCCTTGTCCTCCAACGTCAGTGTCCTTATTTAACCTCTTTAGACGTGGGTTTGCTCATGGACAACAGCAGCTAGTCAAAGGAAACCATTCCAGAGTGACCCCCTGCAGCGGTTCTCAACCTGCGGGTGGTGATCCCTTTGGGGGTCGGACGACCCTTTCACAGGGGTCGCCCAATTCATAGCAGTAGCAAAATGACAATGATGAAGTAGCAATGAAAATAATGTTATGGTTGGGGGTCCCCACAACATGAGGAACTGTATGAAGGGGTCACGGCCTGAGGAAAGTTCAGAACCGCTGCTCTAGACAAAGCAGAACTGCCCCATCAGGCTTCCGAGGCTGGACTCTTTACGGAAGCAGACTGTGTGGGTGCTGTCAGACCTTGCCTCTGTGCAGTGCTTGGAAGGTTTTGAACCACTAACCTTTTGGTTAGCAGTGGAGGGCTTTAACTAGTGTGCCATCAGGGTTCTTTAACCATATAAAAATGAAGTTTTTATCTTCTCAGTAGGCACACAATAACTTTACAAAGGAGTGAAGAGAAATTCCTTTAAGCTTGGCTTTATGAGAAATTGTGCACTGCATGATTTTATGTATCAGAAAGCATGCTGGGAAAAGGCAAATACTCAAGTCCTCCCAATCCCTCCCCCCCGAAAAAAATACACACACACCCCAAAACCCCAAACCCCTAGAGCAGAGTTAACTAGGAAGGGAAGTTCAAACAGCTGTTTTTAAAACAAAACATCTGACTAAGGTGTTTACTCCCTCTAGTTCAGGCCAATAAAAACACACCGACTTGTCTCATAAGGATGTCAATGAATCTTTTTATATGGCAAGGGTGAAGAGGCTCACCACATTTATTTAATTGACAATTCTGGAATTTATGTGCCATGGTATTGTTACTTTGGAAAAAGTATTATTTCTTCTTGATAACCATTGCTTATTTATATGGCCATCAAAAGAATTACTCTATTGTCTCTTAATGTATAGCATACTTCGGCTTTCCTTCATAAATTATAGTAATGACTTGCTTGTTGCAATACTAATAAATTTTAAAAGCTTGTGCAGTCTTGTGGTCAAATACAACACAGATGTCAGCCTAATTTACCTTTAAATGCAATTCTTTTTGTTATGAGCTGTCATTGCTTAGTAGTTTTTATACTTGCCACTCCCTGGTATTCTTTGGAAAGATTTGCTATGTTAACGGTTCAACAGTTACCTGCAATGAGACAATTTTAGAATAGACAGGGAGCCTACTCTAGCGGTACTGTGATCCTAACATTTTGAAACAACGTCTCAAAGTTAAAAGTGTATCTATTTTATACCATTACTTTCCAAAAACACACACAAGTACTGTACATGGGAAGCTTCTGTATACTGATATTTTCTACTTCATAAACTATTCATGTGTTGGTAGCTATAGTTTGAAAGGTTGCCCTTTAGAGACTGGCTGTGGTGCACAGCAGTGACTCAGTAATAGAATTCTTGCCTTCCAGGCAGGAGACCTGGGTCCAATTCTCAGCCAATATACGAATATTTTACAGCCACTACCCATCATCATTCAGTGGACTCTCGTGTGCTGCTGTGTTACAGGACAGATTTCAGTGGGGTTTCCAGTATAAGAAGGACTACAAAGAAAGCCTTGACCATCTAATTTCCAAAAATAAGCCAATGAACGTCGTAGGGATCACAAGGGATGCCAGGTCCTGGTATCACTTGGCTGCATTCCACATGGGGTTACCACACATGGTTCAGGGTCCAACCCCATGGCGGATAAAAACAATAATGAGCTATCTACTCTTTGATGTAAGAAGATACAGGAAAATTGAATGCCAGAAGTATTGTCATCTATGTGTGATAAAAACTCTGGCAGGCTGCTAAGCCACCTAACCTTCTGTGTTTTATCTAATAGCAGAAGAGCAGGTTGATATCTGCATTCACCCATTTGCTTCCATATTCTAGCAATGGGAGTTCTCACAAAAAATTCAGATTTTATATTCTAGAGCTGCTTCACAAGATAGGGATCCCTGGTGGCACTGTGGAATAAGCATTGGACTGCTAACTGCACAGATTGGTAGTTCAAACCCATCAGCCACTCCAAGAGAAGAAGACGAGGCTCTCTGCGCCCACGAATATTTACAATATCAGAAACGCTAGGAAGCAGTTACACTTTGTCCTGTAAGGTTACTATGAGTTGGAATCAACTTTATGACCATGGGGAGGTTGCGATAGATGTTCTTACAATACTTTAAAAAAATATATAATTCATTTTGTTATTGAGAATATACGCAGCAAAGCATACATCAATTCAACAGTTTCTGCATGTTCTGTTTAGTGATGGGGCTGAGACTCTGAATTGTAAATCACTTTTACCCTCCTTTTCTGAGTTGTCCTCACCAATTAACATAAATTCACTGTCCCCTTTAAAGGCTTGAAGATAAAAAAGCGGCCCTCTAGCTCAGAAGCAACAAAGCCCACATGGAAGAAACACACCAGCCTGTGTGACCATGAGGTGTCAAAGGGATCAGGTATCAGGCATCAAAGAACAAAAAATCATATCATTGTAAATGAGGGTGAGTGCAGAGTGGAGACCCAAAGCCTCATCTGTAGGCAACTGGACACCCCCTTACTGAAGTGGTGGTGTGGAGGAGACGAGCCAGTAAGGATGCAGGGTAGCAACGATGAAACATACAATTTTCCTCTAGTTCTTGAATGCTTCCTCCCCACCACTATCATGATCCCAATTCTACCTTACAAATCTGGCTAGACCAGAGGATGTACACTGTACAGATAGGAATTGGAAACACAGGGACTGCAGGACAGATGAACCCTTCAGGACCAGTGGTGAGAGTGGCGATACATGGAGGATGGAGAGAAGGTAGGGTAGAAAGGAGGAACCGATTACAAGAATCTACATGTGACCTCCTCCCTGGGGGATGGACAACAGAAAAGTGGGTGAAGGGAGACGTCAGACAGCATTAGATTTGACAAAATAGTAATTTATAAATTATCAAGGGTTCATGAGGGATGGGGGAGTGGGGAGGGAGGGGGGAAATGAAGAGCTGACATCAAGGGCTCAAGTAGGAAATGTTTTGAGAATGATGATAGCAGCAAATGTACAAATGTGCTTGACACAATGGATGTATATATGTATGG